CAACAGCCCTTTGAAGGCAACCATAAGGCTGATGTGGCCCTTGATGAAAATGAGTTTTGACACCTCTACTCTAGACCATCATGTCTTCAGCCTGACAGAAATACCCATATAGGCTTTCATTGTCAATGCAAAGGTCAAAAATGCACAGGAAAAAGCAAAGGATGGTTTTGTACACCAGCATCTACAAGCAGTCAAGCAACTGTATATGACTCACATGTAAACTACTTTGCTAAAATTATATTCCACAAAGCTATTATGTGTAGACAAATGGTGCAACTTTTTCCCTTTCCTGTTCAATCACTACAATAGAAAAGATAAAATGATTGATAGAAAAGATCTAAGTGTCCAATTCTACCTAAATGGATATGGTATTAAGGCACCAGATATCACCTGATCTTGGAAACTAAGCCGTCAGTTCTGGTTAGTACTTGTATGGGATACCATTAATAAATACCAAATGTTCTAGGTTACATTTTCAGAGGAAGGGACAGGCAAAATTACCTCTGAGTAGTCCTTAAGAAAATATTATGAAATGTATATGGTCGCCATGAGTTAGCAAATAACTCGAAAGTACATTCACACAAATTGAGAGATGTACAGCAACTGTATGGGACAGCACTTAAAGAAGTGTCTCCCAGAAGTGGGTAAGTGTGAGTGACTGAAGGACACTCCTGACCCATCCAAAAAGGTCACATTTCAAAACCACTGTGGGGAAGAGAGAATAATTTTTGTTGGCATACCTTATATACGCATGTCTACAAATCTGAGTGAAATCAACCTAAAAAAAAACTGACTCAACTTATCCACAGGTCAATGTGAGTACCACACCTTAATGCTTATTTTTAAAAGAACTGCCCTCTTCTCTGAGTGGTGAAAGGCAAGAGGTTATCATTAGCATATCCCAGGAGAAGAAGCAATTACACCACCCACCCTACTGTGGAACCATTACTGGTCTTTTTCAATGCTTGGGTGGGGAAATTAACAGTGGACACATCTGGCTGCCTCTGAAGTGACCTTGATACATTTCCCTCTCTGCAGGATGATTCTCAACTTATCTATTGATATCAAAAGCCATAATTTTGATCCTAAAACCTGCCCTCGACATGAGGATTTATAGCCACTTCAAATGACCAACTCTTGTTTCAACAACTATAAAGCATATTAATCTACTAGGGGAGTAAACATTATAAATTCACTAGGACATTATTCCTTAGTAAAGGAATACAGCAGCAGTAAAAAATGCTTCTGCATGAAAAATTGTGCTAAATTGTTAAATCTAAAGAGCCACATTATATTTAGTCTAATTTTAAAATGTGATAATGGTTGCTCATAAATTTAACATGGTTTTCAGTTTTACAAGCTTTGAGAATATACTGAAGCCTCCAAAACTTGTATATGCCAACTTCAGTATGATATGAATTGGGGACAAAAAACATTCAGCTTTTTGTAGCTTTGGTTTTTCATTACCATTCTCTACCATGTTGTTCTTTGAACTTTCATATGTACTGCCTCAATAATGAGGGAGAGAAAACTAGCCTTTAAATAGTAATCTCAAACCAATGGTATGTATTAGTAGATATGCCTACTTACCTGTAGCATTTGCTATAGCAAGTGGGAGCCCTTGAAACTGATGAACTTGGATTCCGGATCCCAGGGCCCCAAGATTAATGGTCTGAAGGCCTGGTACAGAGGACAGCTGAGCGGCATTTACAGTAACAGTGCCACTGGGAAGAGATGCAGAAGCTATTGGTGTGAGGGTTGTGTTGGTGGTCCCAGTCTGCCCCAGGGACTGTACTGGTGCCAAGGCGATTGTCTGAGCTTGTGGATTCTGAACCTGAAGATTTTGCAGCTGAATAGTCTGCCAGCTCACTTGCCCATTTGGCCCCACAGTGGGTGTTCGAATAAAAATCGGACCAGTATTGGGGAGAGCCTGGATCTGAAGGTTCTGCAAAGCATCCTGAGTAGTAAATGTCTGGCCAGCTTGGCCTGCTTGAACAAGCTGAGGCTGCAGTAGGATCTGCTGTTGCTGCTGGCTTTGATCACCTTCCTTCTGTTGGCTTTGCTGGACTGCAGCTCCAGGCACCTGCAGAGCATCAGTATTTTGAGCACTGCCTGTCCTCTGCATAGTGCCACTTGTGGAAAAATTCATGATGCCCAAATTACTCGATGTGGTAGTGGCATTGTAGTTGTTGGCATTGGTAAAAAAACCAACAGAGTTGGCTTGGGATACAGTCACACCCGAGGAACTGACTGAAGCACAAGATGCTGCTGGTTGAGTACTGCTCTCTTGAGAACCAGAGCTGCTTAAAGTCACCGACTGGGAAGTGGGTGCCAAACTGGCTGCAATGCTGTTAACGGGCAACAAGGTGATGTTGCCATTCAAAGCCAGTGGGACATTAGTGACGTACTGAGTCTGTCCTGAGAGGGTATTTACTCCCTGAATAGGAACAGCCTGCTGCAAAAGATTCGGCATAGCTGCCAAGATATTGCCTGCCCCAGACCTGTTTGTAATGAGCTGCTGGTTTGTTCCAGGGATGATTTGCAGCTGGCCAGAGGCATCTTGCTGGACACTGACCTGGGTGGGAGTGGTGGCAAACTGCAACTGTTGTCCATCTACAGTTTGAAACTGAGGGATCACCTGATACTGAATGTTGGGTATCATTCCTGACAAGCCTGCCAGCACTTGCTGGTTCTGCATATTGGAGGTGGTGGTAACCACATACTGCCCAGAGGAAGCAGCTTGGTTTTTGGATGATGAATCATTCTCCTCATTGCTGTTGCCCCCCTGGTCCTTGGGGGAGTTGGAAGCCCCAGAGGGAGTGGAAATTATTTGCCAGTCATTTCCATTTTGAGACATTTGACTGGTAAGGTCCAGTTCGCTTGAGCTTCCCTGTTGTCCCTGTGAACCATCAGTGTTCTCACTGGGAGATTCAATCCTGCTGCATGTGGCTGCCAGCAGCGCCAGGGGGGAATGTTGGGACTCCTATTAAAAGACAAAGATGGAGAGAGTAGGAGTCAGGCATCCCCTTTATGTAGAGAACTGTACAAAACTAGGGTGTAAAATTGAATGGAGAACATAGATACAAAAACCTATTAGGAACAGGTACCCTTCCCACTACCAGAAACTGTGTGCACTGGACTCAAGAGTCCAATCAACAGAGAAAAGCCGCAGCTAAGAGCTTTCACAACAGAGTGACTTTCAAAACTGCCTTGACAAGTTGTCTGCATTTATGAACCCACAAACAAAAACATCTTTTAACCCAATCATTCTTGAATGAGGAAGTTCATATTCTAATGCTCAGAATTAACATTTACAGAAACAAAATGTAACTACCCTATTTTGAGACTATATTGTTTTGAACACAAGAGCTACAAATACTATCGTTACACGTGGAGTATGGACTCCACGCAAAAATGCTGGAATTTCAGAACATGTTGATAAGCAATATGAAGGCACTAGATGGTCACCCAAACACACAGAAAGAAGCAGAAAAAGATATTGAGCTACCAGACCTATCCTCAAGACCCAAATACAATTTTCCACTGATTCAAAATGTCTGTGCAGAGAGATAACATCATTATTTTAGAAACACCACCACTTACCTGGCCCTCACAATTTCCTCCATCATTACTGCTGCCTTCCTCTAGCTTCTCATTCTTGATAATAACCATTTCTTCTGAAATATCATGGTCTGCATAGAGGGATAGGATGTTGCAAAGACAAATAGTAAAAAGCAAGTGATCAGACAAGTTGTACAGAATAAGCAATTTGTCCAATGAAAGAACACAGATATTTCAAAAATACAAGTCTTTAAAAATGTGTGCCTCCTTCATTTTACACATTAAAATATCTTACTTTTCTGCAAACAATACGAAATACACAGTTCGGAATCTAACACTGAAACCTGGACATTGTCAAGTAACTATCTCAACTGGGAATTTAAGCTCAAAACCATCTTCAGTAGGTTCTTGCTATCCAGGTTCCTCTGCTAATACCAAATCTGTGAATGATCAAATTTCATTAGATACAACAATGTAGTAAAAATGGTGGCCCTTACATAAAATGACAAAATTAAGGTAGTATGGACTTTTCCTCTCTGCAACTTTCAAAATGTGTGAGATTATTATATTGTCAACAACCAAGAGGACAGGTAATGTGGGGAACTAGCATGTCTAAATTTATTGGAAGGATGATCTTTAATCCCAAATATTTATTCAAATGACATCCTTATGGCGGAAAAAGGGAGTATGAGAAATGAGTTATGTTGAAACTAGACTATCATTCAAATCCTTTTCAGCCACAATCCTGAATGGCCCCACAGGATAAGAAATAATCATCATATACCTCTTTTAAGTTCCCTGAAGGGAGGGTGGGGCACAAGTGCAATAAATGTAAGTCCCATCAAGTCATCAGCTAGCATGCCAAATGAAGGTGTTATGTGTCATGTAATCTCAATGGAAAATGGAAGTTCAGGATGGAGGAAGTGGCAATACTTGGCAGGATGTGTTTCTGTGGTTTAAGGAATATCTGAAAACAAAATGATCTCTCCCCAATGAATCATGTTGTTATTACAGAGTCACAACAATTATATGAACTGAGCTCTGCTGGGAGAGGGTGATCAAAACATGACAATATGCTAGGAAAAATGTGGAACCTTATTAAGGTCCCCTCTATGACTTTTGCTTTCCAATGTGACAAGGACTGGCTTCATTTTGGGGCTGCATGCAACTTGCCACAGCTTTAACTTCTTTTCTTAAATTTTTCAGTGGAGTGGCAGCTAATGGTTCTTGGAACAGCACCAGTCTCCAGCCTATACATTTTATGTATTTTACTTATTCATTAATATTAATAGGTAATATGTTCATATTCAAATATAAAGTAGCACTACTCTACAGCTCCAAGTGATCATTTCCCCCTAGTAGCAGACAAGATTTGTTTAAGTTTCAGAGGAAAATACAGAGTTGGAAGTTGTAGAGAGAAGAGAGCAAATTACTCAGCCCAAATTCATGAGAAAAAAAATCCTACCAATCTTGCCCATTTATTGCCGTTTAAAAATGTTTTGTTATGGGCTGGGTTTTTTTGCTCTTTAATCTGGATCTAGTCAAAGTTAGGCTTTCTCAGTACCCTTGTGCCTTTTTCACAAATGGAAATGAACAAGGGAGATTTTATGCCCATTTTTAACCTTTCTCCTAGAATCATGCTTTTCACTGTTGTTTCAATAAAACCTCAGGGTGTTGTTTTTTCCTCTTAAAGGACAGTGGAACACCACATAAATACCCAGAAAGCCCCACACAATGTGCACTCAGAATAACACAATTGCAAAAATTGTAATAATTGTACAGTGGCATAGGGGCATGTAGGCTTTTGACTTTCAGCTGGCCTCAAAGAGAGCAGAAACACCAGCAAAGGCTTAACAAAGCTTGCTGAACACTATGATTGTTGAGTTTAAGATCTTCTCAACAGACTGTCCAAAGCAAGGGCCCTTCCAGAGAGGCCCTATATCCCAGGATCTGATCCCAGGTATTCTGTTTACTCCAGATTATCTGGCACTGCAGACTCATAGGTCCCTTCCAAACAGGACTATATCCCAGAATATCAAGGCAGAAAATATCACAATATCTGCTTTAAACTGAGTTATCCGAGTCCACGCTCAGATAATGTGGGGTTTTCTGCCTTGATATTCTGGGATATAGGGCTGTGTGGAAGGGACCATATAATCCAGTTTAAAGCAGAAACCTGAGATCAGATCCTCAGATATAGGGTCTGTCTGGAAGGGCCCTAAGTTAGCCTGCACTAGAAAAATAATGCAGTTTGACACCATTTTAAGTGACGGACCAATGCTATCGAATCATGGGATTTGTAGTTTGGTGAGGCATAGAAGGTAATCTGGGCAAAGAAGGTTCAAGGTCTTGTTCAAATAACCCCTAGACATTGAGCCATGGCAGTTAAAGTGGCATCAAACTGCATTAATTCTACAGCATAAATGCACCCCAGGAGAAAGGATAGCTCTGTTTTATCCCTGTTTTGAGGAAACACACAGATAAGGCCAAAGGGTGGAAGCAAGGCCTGGGAAAACCCCCAAGTGCATGTCACATTTAGTTTCCAAGGGCCCTTCCACATAGCCATATGACCCAGAATATCAGGGCAGAAAATCCCACAATATCTGCTTTGAACAGGGTTATATGGGTCCACACTACTATATACTGCAGTTCAAATCACATAATGCGGGATTTTATTCAGCTGTCTGGAAGGAGCCTCAGGGCCCTTCCACACAGCCATACAACCCAGAATATCAAGGCAGAAAATCCCAAATATCTGCTGTGAAGTGGGTTATCTGAGCTCACACTGCCATATATCTCAGTTCAAAGCAGAAAATGTGGGATTTTATTCAGCTGTGAGGAAGAGGCCACAGACTGTCTGGCAACATATATCTGATTCCTACAGATAGAAGAAGCCTAAGGGCCCTTCCAGACAGGCCCTATATCCCAGGATCTGACCCCAGGTTTTCTGTTTATCCCATATTATCTGGTTGTGGGGACTCATATAATCCAGTTTAAAGCAGAAAACCTGGGATCAGATACTGGGATATGGGGCCAGCCTGGAAGGTCCCTAAAAAGACCAAGACACAGTGGATGGTTGGTGGGCTCTTGCATTTTAGGATCTGAGTTTCCTTCCAGTCCCTAGTTGTCCTCAGCGAGGCACTGGGAAGAAGCCCACTCCCCTCCCCCAAGGCCTGGACTTTGAGCCCGACCCCTCATTCCAGTTGAGGCCTTTCCACACAGCCCTTTATCCCATAATATCAAAGCATAAAATCCCACAATATCAGCTTTGAACTGGGTTACCTGAACCCACACTGCCATATATTTCAGTTCAAAGCAGATATTGTGGGATTTTCTGCCTTAATATTCTGGGATATAGGGCTGTGTGGAAGGGCCCCGAGCCTACACTGTCGAACTGTAACAGTTCAATACTACTTTGGGAGCCCTCGGTGGAACAATGGGTTAAACCAGGGGTCCTGAAACGAAGGCCCGAGGGCCGGATATGGCCCTCCAAGATCATTTACCCGGCCCCTCATTCAGGGTCAACCTAAGTCTGAAATGACTTCAAAGCACACATCAACAAATAGCCTATTGCATATTTCAGCCTCTAGTGCAGGGGTCCTCAAACTAAGACCCGGGGGCCGGATGAGGCCCTCCAAGGTCATTTACCCGGCCCTCGCTCAGGGTCAATCTAAGTCTGAAACGACTTGAAAGCACACAACAACAACAACAACAACAACAACCCTATCTCATCAGCCAAAAGCAGGCCCACATTTCCAATTGAAATACTAATACATTTATATTTGTTAAAATTGTTCTTGATTTTAGTTGTTGTGTTGTTTTTAAGTATTTTTGTACTACAGATAAGATATATGCAGTGTGCATAGGAATTCATTCATGTTTTTTCAAATTATAATCTGGCCCTCCAACAGTTTGAGGGACTGTGACCTGGCCCTCTGTTTACAAAGTTTGAAGACCCCAGGGTTAAACTAGCCCTCTGTTGAAAAACTTTGAGGACCCCTGGATCAAACCCTTGTGCCGCCAGGACTGAAGACCTACACGTCGGAGGTTCGAATCCAGGTTGAGCGCGGATGAGCTCCCTCTGTCAGCTCCAGCGCCCCATGCGGGGACATGAGAGAAGCCTCCCACAAGGATGGTCAAACATCCAGGCGTCCCTTGGGCAACATCCTTGCAGACGGCCAATTCTCTCACACCACAAGCAACTTGCAATTTCTCAAGTCGCTCCTAACACGAAAAAAAACCACTTTAAGCCGCCCGTTTCGCTCCCTGTTGGCGCAGTTTGGTGAGGCGCCAACCACCAGCCAAGGCGAGGCTTTTGAGGCCTTGTCAAAGGGACACCTCGGAGGATTCCGGGAAACGGCGGTTTAAAATGGCGCCAGGACGGTTTTCAACTCCGATGGAGGCCTACTCGGTAGTGTTTTTTTTACCCCCCCCCCCCGAAGGCCTTTCCTCTGAGGCTGAGAGAGTGTGACTTCCTCCCAAGCGGGGATCCGAGTCCTGGCGTCCACAAAAAAGAAGGCGCACTCTGCACGTGCTCAGGGGCACTCTGGTGAAAGGCGGCGGCGGCGGGGGGGTTATTCCATTTAACCCCTGGGTGGGTGGGTGAGTAGGTAAGCCAGCAACACGGAAATACTAACCTCTAACGAAGGTTAACTACACAGAAATAGTAGAAGGAGAGGGTAGGGAAGGCCTTCCTTTTCCTGAGAGCCATTCCCACCCGGAACCCTCTCTYCCGGCCTCCTCCTCCTCCCCTCCCAAGAAGCCCCTTCTCCTCCTCCTCCTCCTCCTCCTCCTGGGGCCCCTCCCCGCCACAGGTTGGCCCTGCCAACGCCGTCCCCTCCCCTCGCTTCCCCTCCCTGGGGGGCTGGGCCAGAGCGCGAGGGAAGGCCGGCGGGAAGCACGCAGGCGGCGCCCCCCTCTCGGCCCGGCCCAAATAGTCCCGTCCTTACCGCTCATGTTGGCCGAGGCGAAGAAGTAGGCGAGCCCAAGCGGCGCCGGAGGGGTGTCCTGGGCGGGGGCAGCGGAGTTTGTGGGACGCGGCTAAGCCTAACCCCCACCGGTGACCGCCAAAGGCCTGCTGAGGGGAGGGAGCTGTGCCCACACAGCCCCCAAGGCCAAGCGCCACGCCTCCCGCCGCTCTCCTCCAATCACGGGCCTCTCTGGGCGTGGCTAGGGGTGACTGGCGCCTCGCACAGCCAGTCGCGGAATTACAAAAAAAAAAAAAGAAGGCGTGTGGAAAATGCGGGGAGCGGGGGGTGAAGGGGGAGCAGTTTACCAAAAGCTCTCCTTTCGGGAAACGCCTTTCGAAAGAAGCCCCACCCAAGTGTGGGAGGCGGGGCTTGGAGAGTGTTTGGGAACTGGGAAGTGATGTCGCAACCGACCAATCGGCGACCGCGTGGGGTGGCCCTGTCACGAACTCGTCCGACTCAACGGCCTGGCGTCCAATCAAGAGACGAGGCCTTTTCGTCATGGAGAGGAAGGCGGGGACTGACGGGGAGATTAGCCAATCGGCATCACGAGCGTTTCAGAGCGAAGGATTAAGCAGCCAGAGAGCGGCAAGGAGAGAGAAGGCGGAAACAGTGCCTGCTCCAATGAGGATCGAGGATGGTCTTGAATTATCCAATGGGAATGGCTGCTCATCTGGGCCATTAGGACAGGGTGACGGGCGTTGGCGCCATTTTAGCTCGGGCCTACTCCACCCCCCTTCCTCCATTTGACGAAGGGATTATGCAACCAGAACTGACGTCGGTCGTTTTTCCTCCCTTGAGGCTCGTTGGAGAAGTGCTCACTTCCGGTCATAATGTAAGAGGCGCCGCTGAGGTGGCTTCCTTCATGTGCCAGGACGCCCCCCCCCCTCCACACCATAATCAGTGGGTGCTCAAGCCCTTCTATATGTGTGTGAATATATACACAGTGGTGCAACTGTTTGGTCTGCCCCTGACACGATAAATAAATAGTAGTGTAGTGAAATTGACTCCCATGTATAGAAGGGCCAAATCAACTTTTGCTTTTGAGAGTGACATCCTGGATTATTTGTAAGCAGTGGATGGTGGAGTCTGTGGATACGGAGACCTGTCTATACCTTGTCGAATTAGTGTAGTTTGACATCACGTAATAATGGCTATGTCTCGATCCTATGAAATCATGGGAATTGTAGTTTGAGGCCTACTCAGCCCTCTTTGGCACAGAAGGCGAAAGACCTTGTAAAACTACAACTCCTATGGTTTCATAGCATTGAGCTGTGGAAGTGAGGTCAGACTGGATTATTTCTACCGGAAGAGTTAACGCCGGCAAATGGAGAGAGGTAGATATAATTAGCTTCTTTATAAAGCTATTGTCCTCCCAACCCTGCTATACGCCTGCGAGACGTGGACTGTCTACAGACGTCACATGCAACTCCTGGAATGATTGCATCAGCGCTGCCTCCGGAAAACCCTGCAAATCTTTTTGGAAGACAAGCAGACAAATGACAGCGTGCTGGAAGAAGCAAAGACCACCAGCATTGAAGCGATGTTCCTTCGCCATCAACTCCGCTGGACTGGCCATGTTGTCTGGATGCCCGACCACCGTCTCCCAAAGCAGTTGCTCTACTCCCAACTCAAGAACGGAAAACAGAATGTTGGAGGACAGGAAAAGAGATTCAAAGATGGGCTCAAAGCCAACCTTAAAAACTCTGGCATAGACACAGAACTGGGAAGCCCTGGCCCTTGAGTGCTCCAGTTGGAGGTCAGCTGTGACCAGCAGTGCTGTAGAATTTGAAGCACAAATGGAGGGCAAAAGAGAGAAACGTGCCAAGAGGAAGGCATGTCAAGCTAACCCCGCTAATGTCTTTATATCCTTCGTGTAACTAATGGCGTTCATATGGAGGTGTATGAAATGAGACTATTTTCCACATATTTGTCTTTGCAGTTCTTTTTGTAATAATTTTTAAATAGTAAAGAGACTTTATGGACACCAGGCTTGCGCATCCACAAGGGGTTCTGGAACCAAACTCCAGCGGATGCTGAGGGCCCGCTGTGAAAACAGCCCCCGCCATCTTCAAAATTGTTAGAAAATGTAACAAATTTAATAATTGTGTAATAAATAAACTCTTTATTACACACATGCAATATTCTGCTCGCTGTTAGTATATATGGTTTTATATGGAACATCATTTGTCTACCATTTTGTTGTATAACTGGGGTAGATGTATATTGTTAAAGGTGTTAGAGATAGTAATTCTCTTAATATCAGCAGAAAATTGAAATCCAAGACTAGGACTAATTCTATATTAGTCCTAACCTCTCTGGAGCAGGGAGGAAATAACTCCCAGTCGCAATGCATAGTAAAACAATGTATCTTGTATAAAAATGACAAAATCTATGCAATCTATGTCTCCATATACAGTAGACTCACTTAACCGGTACCTATGGGAATGATCAATTTCCTGAAACTACAATATAATGTAGTTTTGGGTTATTTCAGTTAACTATTAAAAATAGACACAACTAATACCAGACCCCATATTGTACCATACGATAAACTCTGAAATGCAGTAATTAAAAGCAAAGAAAGACAAATGTAACAATGTGCCACTAATTTTACTGTATTATTAAAATAATTTTATTTTAATGTTTATAGTATTATTTCTTTGATTTTTTAACCAGTTGCTTGAGAGTTCTGGTTACATTTTTTTTAAGTACTGCTTAACTAAGAGTCTACTGTACTAGGAAAAGTATCCACTCAGTACTTTCACCATTGGTCTAATTTATTTTTGAAATACTCTATTTTTGGAATGTCTGCCTAAGGATGAGCCATTAATTTGGGGAAAAGGTCAAATGTTATTTTCTTCCCTGAGAAAATGACTGGTGAATATGATAGATTGAAAAAAAACCATACAAGGTTAAATTTGGTATCTTTTTGTGGTTGGCTTAAGTATACAAAGGCCATGTGAATAGAAGGCTTGCTTAAGAAAAGAGAGGTTGCTATTATTGGCTGTAGTGTAAAATATAGGACAGATATCTAACCACTATATAAAATTCTGTTAATAACAGGATGAGATAGGAAGTTTTTCCTTCTGTTCTTGATTTTGTAGACTTCCTAAAGAATACAGGGCAAAGGACAAACTTCTGCTCTTGGTAGAAATCCTACTGGAGAAAGTCTTAATGATAGCATGTTAGCAGCTGTCATCCATGTTAAATCAGCAGCTGGAGAATTCCGTGTTTACCAAGCATGACCTCACACTCCCATTCCTGTTAGAGGGAATTGTTTTCGTATAACTCTTGAAGATCAGAGGGCAGCCTAAATGACAGGGTTTCTTTAAATTTTGTTTTTTAAAAAGTCAGCAAATAAAAATTCAGTGGACGTGGGACTAGTGTGTATGTCGACAGACTTGACTGAAAGTTAGGCAATATAACTGGCGACGCAGCTGTTTTTCTTATCTTGTTTCTATCAGTCCGGTGGACACTAACAAATAAACCAGAGTTTTGGAAGAGCCACGTGAATCAAATATACTGCAGTACGACTGACGTATTATTAAAAGAAAAAAGAAGAAAAGTTCAGAAGATTCAATAGGATATTATTGTACTCAAAACCCTAGTACATTTCTTTGCTTGGTAGGGACAACATGGGAACTGTGAGTGTTGAAAGTACTAACTCTTGGCTATCAGACTTGTTTTCCAACACTGTTCAGAGAAGACTGAAGTCTCCTTCAGGAAGGAACATTTCAGGGGAACGGTTTCTTTATCAAACTGCTTCAGGCTGCCAGCTACTGGTAGAAGGATTGCCACTCCTCCCCTTTAAGTTGGAAGAGCTGTGGTAACAGTTTTGCTACAGGCCAAAATACAATGAAGATTTGTCTTGACAGTTCATCTGTATGTCAGGAAAAAGCCTGTTAAACTGCTTCATGTCAATCTCAACCATAGTTTTAAAGGTGGACAGTACTTGTCTGTTATTAATCTGTACCCCTCTGCCCTCCAGCTGTTGCTGTTTGGCCCATTTTGTGGTGAAATGTTTAAAACCGAAATACTTGGGAAGAAGTAACTTCTGCACTAACTTTTAGGACCAGTATAATCCAGGCCGAGCCCTATTTAAGGACTGTCACACTATCCTGTTGTTTTGTAGCAATCACGTTTGAGGAAGTTAAAACATCCCAGAATGGAAGCAGTATGGGACTTCTGTACAATTGTACTGCTTTGACAATGAACAATGCCAGTATCAAGTCCCTTCTACACAGCCATGTAATATAGTTCAAAGCAGATAATCTGGATTTTATATGACAATGTAGAAAGGGCCTAGTCTTCTGCACCACCTTACTGACCCCCACTTTTCTAGTCACTGAGGCATATCTCCCATTCCTGCTTCACTTTTCTCCCCTGTATGTTTTTAGGCAGTAGAGGTTATTTTTTGACTATGTGAAAAGCTATAGTGTAGGTGTGTGTGTTTTAAACACATTAACAGCCCATGGGAGAGAACCTAGCTATAGAAATAGTTGGTACTGTCAGGAAAATAGAGTTCATCATAGCCAGTGTAACCATATGAATGTATGATAGGAAACAGGAGAGAAGATACACAGGATGCTCTGGTATGGTTAAAAAAGGTAAACAGTAGGACTAGAGGTTGGGGGGAAGGGCAAGGTGGGAATTAGGCTTAAATAATAATGCAGAAGTCTACCATCGAACATTTCCAGCCAGACTTGGGGGAGGAGGGGCTCTTCCCGGGGAGGGGCCTTTATTGAAGTAGTGATGGGGAAGGGGAGATACGGGAAGGAGAGTTTGAAACAAAACAATTCGACCCAAAATTCACAATAGAACATTGGCTTTTCCAAAATGATCTCCTGACATGGTGAATCTGAGTACCCAGGTTGGCAGATCCTCCAGTTTAAGGGTGGTGCTGTTAAACGCCAGGTCTGTAAATGGAAAACCATCACCATTCAAGACTTAATTCTTGATGAGCAAATGGACCTGGCATGTATAACTGAGACCTGGCTGGATGAGGCTGGGTGGGTTAATCTCTCCCAGCTTTGTCCGCTCAGTGCAGCACCAGCTGAGAACTGGGGGAGGGGGGGTTTGCAGTAATCTATAAGGATTCTATCTCCTTGATCAGGGGTTCCATCCAGCAGTCTACTATTTTTGAGTGTGTCCACCTGAGGATTGGTGGC